TGATAAATGCTGGCTTGATATAAATCTTAGAACATACTAGTACCATAGAAAGTAGAGGGATACTAACTATGACCTTAATACTGTAAACTTCATGCATCTAAAAGCTTTTAAATAATGGGCACAAGAAGCTGTTGCACAAGGATCACCAAATGAGCCCAATGTCGTGGGTAATCTATTAAACTCATTAATGAATCTCCAGATATGAAAATTTAAGTTTTATACCCCGTTGTCCTGTTTTTTATTATCTTTACAGAAACTATTGTCTCTCCCATGGCTGCAAAAGCGTTCGTAACAAAAGCTTCGTCCATATAGGTGTCCAACTGAAGAAAACAAGCACAAAATTAAAACTATTTAAGTTTCTGTGAGTTCTACTGTGAGAGGTAAGCTCTTAAACTTATATGCAAAGTAATAAGCTTAACTTAAGTTACATACACGTGAATTTCCACTACACATTTCAAAATGGCGGGCTGAATAGTATTACAAATAAACGACTTCGACATAGATTTARCGTTTTTAAGGTACTTACATCGCCCATCCATAGCGTCGACATATCATAAGCTTTCACGAAGAAATAGAAATCTATAAACTTCACCGATCGATAACATGCAATTTTCAACTTTCATTAACTGAGCCCGCGCACTAGAAGGTCAGTGAGGCATGAAGTGTAAGTGTAATGTTTGGGCTTCCTGTGGGTTTGGCGCCAAATCACAGCTGATCGMGCAACATCCACACAAACGAAAGATTATTTCCATTTATTGTAATCTTAATTATTCTTATTTACACTTTTAACTTAAAATAAATCAATGTCAAATAAATATAATTACATGTAATAGTACCAACTTTTAAATCGGTACTATTAATAATAATTATTTGACATTGATTTATTTTAATTAAAATTATTTGAGTATTAATTATTCAATAATTAATTTTGTTTCTTTAGAAATGCCATATTTATGCTTGTGTTGGTGAAAGAGATTAATAAGGCCCTGGATGTACTTCTTGTGGAGATTATCCAGTTCTTTTGGCGAGGGATTAGATATAGCTTTCTTCACAATTATAGGAGCTCCAACTATAAAACATAAAGAAACATCTGTAAATAAATGGATGTGAATGGAAAAATTAGAATTCTGTGTGGATACTTATTTTTGATAGTAGTAAAGGTAAAGGCATGTCGTCAACCCAAAATGAATAATTAATGAATACATGTTTGCATTGGAAAAATGTTTGTATCTACCCATTAGAGCGGATTTCCTATGAGTGGGACACCGTTACCGCACGGTTACCGCACAGTTACTGGACCTGGCCTGCAAAATTTTGGTGAACCAATGGGGCACTAGAATTTGGTTACAGTACGATTACGGTCACAGTACAGTACCGTCCGTTTCCCACTCATACGAAATCTGCTCTATTTGATGTACACACTTACCAACTGTAGCTATTGGTACTTTATTTGGTAGAAATCCAAAGGTATTTGGTAGGAATCCTCTCCCATAAAACAGGGGTGGTGCAAACGAAAATAGACTTTGGAACTTAGCTTGAATMCTCCTCAATAAGGACCCCTTGGGATTGCTAACTTGATTATATACTTCATTTTCACCAAATGAATAAACAGGAACCAGTGAAGCTCTGAAATAAGAGAATAAGAAGGAAAAACTGCAGTAAAAGCAGTGAAGATACAAGAGTAAGTGGTATGAGTGCATGAAAAAATAAATAAAAAATGAGCAGAAAGAGAAGGAAATGTGAAATACAGTTGAATTATCTAAAAATGTGAACTTGAATGAAATAAACAAACAAACAAAACGAAATGAAAGAAAARAATTCCTTACCCAGTTTGGAGAGCCATCTTAATAAATCCCTTTCTACATTTCAGTTTAAGCCTGTATGCCCCAGGGCGTGCCTCCAACGACTCGGCAGCGCCACCCACAACAATAACAGCAGCATTCCCTGTACTGTTCTTGAAAATGTTATAGATTGACTCTTTAGAAACGTCACAGCAGCCTCCAGACAGGACAAAGTCTCGCATCAATGGAAATTTAAACATCACTTTGAAAGAGTAAGGCACATTTTTAGTACATGTTTTATATATTCCTGAGATATTTGATTTCAATTTCATTGATTAGTTTGAATTCAATCATATTGATTAAATGAATTTAGTGAGCTCAAAGAATCCCATAAAATTATCAGATGAATAAATGGATGAATAAACCTTTATTTATTATAAAGCTCCGGGTGGTCCCATCAGTTGCCTGTGCATCTGTTATCAATGAGGCACTAAGGTTAATTATCAACCAAAGTTAATGTTATCATGCAACTTGGTTGGAGGCTGTAGGGTTTATATATGCACTAACACTATTACTCATGGACTCAAACCAAATCAATATACACAGAAATAAGTCTGAGATTATTTCAATGTTACATGTAAATGCGAAAATGAAAACTGGAGATTTTATCAAATTTAGCTTAATTGCACACAAACAATAAACCCTAATGAATCAATCAAAGTCTTTTCAACAAATACCATGACAGCGGRYGCTTCAAGTCAAACGTCCATAATTAAATGAAAAAYACRAATYGAAAAAGGGGAAAGATTATTGTCAGTCAATTTGTCTTCTCTATTACTTTACCAGTAAAAGCATACTTACAAGATAGAGTCAGTAAATATGGTGTTATTCCAGGAAATAACTCACTAAAGCAGGTCGCCTCGGTACAAAAGTTTAACCAAGCTCCACAACACATAATTCCATGAGGATGATATCCAACAACGTAGTTCCTTTCTGGACTCAAACGTTTAGTTCTAATCAACTTGATAGGGAAATAGTCCCTGAATAAGTTCCATGCTTTGAAATAACGAAAAGATTCGAGKCGCCTTCCTTTTCGCTTTGGCGTTTTGACGTCAAGTATAAAAATCCATATAAGGTACATCAAAGCGATATGGTACAAAGGTGACATCAGCAAATAAATCGATAGAACAGTTCCAATTGTATGTCCGAGGAAAAAAATTGAACACAAAAGCAAAACAACTGCAATTTGGAGTTGTTCTGAGCAATCGTTCGGCAAAGTACTCCATGATTTCGAGGGAAACATTCTGCTACAGCCKTCGTTTCTCTGATCAGAATCTCACGTGAGTATTTACAACGTAAATAAATAAGGACAATTGATTAGATTATTGACGTCACTTTCGTTATGCGATTTTAACACAGGGATCCCGTTATTTAGGGTATTATGGCCTTAAACATCAAATATTTCTTCAGGTTTACTCATTTAGCTCTTCAAACGTTCAAATGTTTTTTCTTTCAATTTTGACTGGTTTATGCGCCAGTTAGTTTTTTTAAATAATATACATTGTATTTGAGTTATTTTATCAAACTGAAACTGTTTTATTGCTTATTTGATTAATGGTTTACAAAATAAGGAGCGTGTTAAACAGTTAGATAAATAAGTATTAAAAGATGTAAAGTTGGCGAAGAAGATAAAACTGAAAGATTTATATTTTGTAAAAGAAACATAAATAGACAAAAGAAAGCGTTCAGTCTGAATGCTTGTAAAATAGATTTCCTTGTTGCGTGACCTCTAATAAGTGTAACGAATTTTGTCGTTGACGTCTATGTATTAAGTTTTACATGTAACACGCTTATTTTACTCATATAATTATATTTTGTACTTTGGAAGCTCGTTTAGATAATAAGAGAGGGGGAAAAAAATTTCTTGAACTTTCTGCCATTTTGGCATTTACCATTTTCAAGACCTTGACCGGTAACCGGCCATATAGACACATACAGCGAATGGAAATAGTTTGAAATTTCACGAGAATTATCTAAATTTCTGAATGTTTTGCACAGAATTGAGTCTAAAACAGCGTAAAAGAGATCGCGAAACTCATCTATTCGGAAGACTTTGCCATCCCTCGCCTCGCAGTTCTTTCCCGGCGTTTCAAGCGAGCTCAGAAGTACATAACCATGTACTTCTGGCGAGCTGTGTTATTTCTTTGTACCCCGTGCAATTTGCTTTGCGAGAAGATATAAATAGTTATACAATGAATGCCATTGTCGTTGTTAACTTGTAAAGACATAAAGATAACAACAAAGTCATTTGCATGACGGTTATTAGAATTCCCAGGAAGAATTTTAATTGGTCTGATCTTTAGATATATAACGAATTAAAGATTATTCTGATTATTGACATTGTAGAGACTTTTTAGTACTTTATTCTTGCAAAAACTTTAAAAATACAATGCATGCTAGTGCTATTTTAAGCTGGAGTAACAATAGAATACCCCGCATCATAAAAGCACCCTAAGATTTGATCTCAGCTGCGCGTCAAAAATGATCTATCGGTATACCTGTGTCTATATACTTATACATATCTTTGAAGAACGAGAAATTCTGATATGAAGTGGCTACGCGTCAACGCGTGCTACGCGTCAAAAATGATCTTATGGTATACCTGTGTCTATATGCTTATACATATATTTAGAGAACGAGAAATTGTTATATGTAGTGGCTATGCGTCAACGCGTGCAACGCGTCAAAAATGGTGTATCGGTATACCTGTGTCTATACACTTATGCATACGTTTATGGTAGATTGTACGCGTTGACGCGTTGACGCGTAGCCAAAAACCAAAAAAAATGTCTAT